GATATTAGCTTGTAAATGCGACACCACCAGGGAGAATTCCAAGTCTTCCGAGAGCACATCTGGCAGACAGCATCTGCATCTAAGCCACACTTCAGCAAACCCCTTAAGCATATGTTTAACTTTAATAACATGCTAAAGTCTCACTGACGTCAATGGGATTCGAGCGTGTGCTTACATGCTTGCTTGAATCAGAGCCTCTTCAGGTAACTAGCTCCTGGCACCCTTGGAAAGGGCCGGCAGGGCACAGGGTGTAGGAAAGGGTAGGGCAATACCAGCTGAGAGTGAGCCAAAAAGGACGAGCTCATCCCTGCTGGCACAGACAGCTGAATGTCACCAGTCTGCAATGCAAGTACCAGTCCTGTCCAAAAGGTCTTTCCTTCTGGCTTTGGCAGACTAAAACATTCAGCTACCCAGATTGACTCCACATCCCACGAGGGAAAGCACGGCTCTGAGTACTTCCACAGTGTGCTCAGAGTCCCGCTGACCTGGTAATGCCAGAGAAATCAGCAGCATTCCCACACAGAGGGAAGTGCATTATCAAAAGATACAAACTGCCAGGTCATTTGGCAACAAGAACATGCCATTATAACAGAGTTTAGCAAAGATATTTTGCCGTGAGGCACAACACTTGTGTCTTGCAAATTATACATACCACGCAATATCAAAAAAATCAAAAATCTTTTTTAATCAGGGCTTCAACCTGACCAGCAGAGTGAAACGATCTTAAAAGGAGTGGGAGAAATGAGCAAACAGCACCAAGCAACAGGTCTTCCTCCCATCTTTGGAGGTAAGATCAACAGATACACACCGGGAAGTGACAGGAATGGCTCATACTCACAGCAGACACAAGAAGTAGTGACTATGAAATGCCTCCTTCAAATTCGAGAAAAAGAAAGGGTGCTGTTCACTACATGCTCCCTGTCACAAGAGGATTAAAAATTAAACAAGTTTACTGAAGAAAAAACAAAGGCCAAAATACACAGAGAGGCAGGCAGAACCATTAGCATGGGAAGGCTGTCAGCTTCAGACCACTGGAAGGAGGGAGGACATCCTCAGGGAAGCATCATTAAGGAAGGATCCTCAGGGAAGCATCATTAACATCATCAAGGAAGCTTCCTTCTTGCTAGTCGCTGTCAGGTAGGATACCAAGTGAAGCAAACTTTTTGTCTGACCCAATATAATTATTCTCAGTGATCTCAGAAATATGAAAGAAAACTAGCAAAGTTGTCAAATTATGATGGTACCTGGAAGAAGCAAGTTCAAAAGGGTGGCTATGAAGCACTAGAGAAAGCCGGCAGACACTAAGCTGTGTGTAAGGTATGTCACAAACATTATTTTACCTCCCAGTAAAAGCTTAGAGCAAACTATGGCTTGGGATAGTGCGATATCATTCAACACAGGGCAGGTAGCCCAGGAATGCAGATCTAAAAGATAGCACTTTGCCTTAAAGAAGCAGGTTTTTCTCCTTTCTAAATGCTTACCTTACGCTCTACACGCTAGAGACTAGATTCAGCCTGACTTCTGCTGGCATAACATAAGCTGTGTTTGCTGGTGGGTTCCTTGGAAGCCATCTGTGGTGCATTAA